CTCTCATACAGTGACAATGACTTTATTAATTACAGGCTCAAATTCAGTTTTGGTATGAAATCAGAACTCACTAATATATTGGATCTCGATAGGTTGTCTTATGCAGATTTTAATTGGACTTACCGAGCATCATCTAAGTAAGGAAACTCATGACACAGACACTCAGACAACCTCAGCACCTCCTTACAGAGAATCTCTTGGTAAGTGCAACTTCTGCAAGAAAGTCTTCCCAGATATTTTCGTATTGGTAAATGGTGTGGATTTATAAATTGTATGAATGGTATTCTTTCATCACTTACTTAAATGCAGCCTAAAGTAATAATAAGTAAAGGTCATACCTATCACTAGTACATTGATTTTTCTAACCTTTCTTAAAATAAGGCAAAAGTCCTTTTAGGATTTTTTTTTTTTTTAAATCACTCAGATGTTTTCTTAGGCAGTTAGCTAAGAGCTATAACATCTTAAATGGACTGTAAGTGTTATGTGCTGCAATATGTTCTGGAAAACATGACTGTAAATGCGTGCCCTAGCTTCTCTTTCTATGATAGTGTTTCAGTGTAAGTTAAGCATGGATTGGGAGTTCTTGAATTATAATATGCATGCTGTTAGTAATACAGAAAACCTAAAAGTTGCAGGCAGAAGAAAATTCTTGTCCATTCATGATAAAGAGAGTGAATGACTGTGTAATACACGAATAGTGCCTAACAGCTAAGTGCCTCCTCCTAGGCATATGTTCTGTGGCATAGAGCTGATAGATGGCACTTCTATGCTGCCTCTGCTTTTGTACCACACAGGTGTGACAGTGCTACTTTGGTAAACTAAGGAACTTCCTACAGAGAGACAGGTTCCTACAGGCTTTGGTGGGATAACTGTGGTAAATTGTGATGGATTTAAATTGTGATGCATATGTTGCTGTGGTAAATTGTGATGGATATGTTGCTCTTTTTGTAGCTGAGAAGCTTCAGCTGATTGATGAACAGTTTGCAGACTCTTATCCCCAGCATCAGAAATACGAATCTTTAAAAGTAAAACTTCATGAATATAGAAAAGAAATAGAGAAGCAGCTTCAAGCAGAAATGTGTCAAAAGGTATAACTCTGAGTTGGTCATTGAATTTGAGGGAGACTTTTGACTTTGCATGTTACAGACTTCTAATACTTAAAGTAAATTGAAAGAGAAGATCTAATAGTGAGTTACAAACACAAAAGGCTAAGTTAATCCAATATCAATTGTTAATTTGATGATATAGCCTGTGTATATTTTCCATTCCACTTTTTTGTTAAATATGCACAGAATGTTAAGCTTTGTATTCTGATGTAAATTTGTAACACAAATTTTTCTTATTTTGATGGTCTTAATTTGGTAAATTTTATTTGCTCTTTGATTATTTTGTTTTATGGAGAAATGTTTACTCTGCCTATTCATACTATTCATTTTCCTTCCTAGTTAAGATTTTGAAGCTTGAATTGCAATATAATGCATGGCAACTGAGAGGCGTGAATTGCTGCTATGTAGCTTGACAGATAGTTGAGTTAATTTTTAATACTGATGAGAATTTGCATACTATTTCAAAACATCACACAGAAACACTAAAATCATAACAGACAGTGTTATGAATTACTTCTGTTGTGGTTTTTTTTTCTTCCTATAATTGAAGACAGCTCTTTCAGAGAATTTTCCTTAGCTTTGGGGAAAAAAAAAATTAATTTTTTTTTGTGTCACATAATCCATTATTGTAAAAAAAATGGAACAGAGAGAATACACTGCAGTTCATTTAAATACAGGGGTTTATTTCCATAAATTTCTGTCAGGGTCAACAGTTTATTTGGATAGAAAAATTTAAATTAACTGTAGTTCATTTAAATATGTTTTTTCCCATTAATTTCTGTCAAGATCAATAGTTTATTTGGATATAAAAATGATAATCTGATAATCAGTTAGAATTCTTAGACACACTTTCAAAGGCACTCATCTGCATATGAACTGTTTGAGGAAACCGGTTTAGTCATATTTATTCAGCTAGACAAGTAGAAGGACGGAGCGTTAAAACTGCCAGTGTATTTCGTAGACTCATACAATAGTTTTGGTTGGAAGGGACCTTTTAAAGGTCATCTAGTCCAAACCCCCTGCAACGAACAGGGACATCTTCAACTAGATCAGGTTGCTCAGAGTCCTGTCCAACCTCACCTTGAACACTTCCTTATAATTAGTCTGAATCTACCCTCTTTTAGTTTAAAACCATCACCCCTTGTCCTATCATAGCAGGCCCTGCTAGAAAGTCTGTCCCCATCTTTCTTATAAGCCCCCTTTAAGTACTGGAAGACTGCAATAACGTCTACCTGGAGCCTTCTGTTCTCCAGGCTGAACAACCCCAACTCTCTCAGCCTGTCCTCACAGGAGAGGTGTTCCAGCCCTCTGATCATTGTTGTGTCCCTCCCCTGGACCTGCTCCAACAGGTCCATGTCTTTCCTGTGCTGAGGGCTCCAGAGCTGGACTCAGGACTCCAGGTGGGGTCTCACCAGAGCGGAGTAGAGGGGCAGAATCCCCTCCCTTGACCTGCTGGCCACGCTGCTTTGGATGCAGCCCAGGATGTGGTTGGCCTTCTGGGCTGTGAGCACACATTGCCCACTCACGTCCAGCTTTTTATCTATCAGTACCCCCAAGTCCGTCTCAGCAGGGCTGCTCTCAATCCCTTCATCCCCCAGATTGTACTGATACCGGGGCTTGCCCTGACCCAGGTGCAGGATCCTGCACGTGGCCTTGGTGAACCTCATGAGGTTCACCCGGGCCCATTCCTCAAGCTTGTCCAGGTCCCTCTGGATGGCATCCCATCCCTCAGGCATGTCAACAGCACCACTCAGCTTGGTGTCATCTGCAAACTTGCTAAGGGTGCACTTGATCCCACTGTCTGTGTCATTGATAAAGATACTGAAGAATACTGGTCCCAATATGGACACCTGAGAGATACCACCCATCACCAATCTCCTTATGGACATTGAGCCTCTAACCCTCTGGATGCAACCATCCAACCAATTTCTCACCCACCCAACAGTCCACCCATCAAATCCTTATGTCTCCAATTTAGAGAGAAGGATGTTGTAGGGGACTGTGTCAAAAGCCGTAGAGAAGTCCAGATAGATGACATTGGTAGCTCTTCCCTTGTCCACTGATGTGGTCACTCCATCATAGAAGGCCGCTAGGTTGGTCAGGTAAGACTTGCCCTTCATTTAGTCTTTATTCTCCAGCAGGCACTATTTTTCATTTAGTCTTTATTCTCCAGCAGGCACTGTCTTTCTGTTATGTAAAACATGTTAATTTGTATGTTAAGTTTGTTTCAGTTTAAGAAAAGCAGTTGCAACAAAGGAGATTGGAAATGTAACCAGATATAAGCACTTCTAAATTTGATTAACTTTACACTGATTCCATAGCAATGTGACATGAATTACTCTAAGACATTTCTAATCCAATTTATGTACATACAAGTGATGCTGTACTGTCTTACCATTTCTTTAATTTTACACATTAATTTATGCCCACAGACCTGAATCCTTAATCAGACATTCCTACTGTGCTTTTCCCTCTCTCTTTAACCTCATTTTCTCCAGTCTCACAATTTTTCTATAATTTTCTTTTTATTGTTTTGCTCCTTTTTTCCTCACATTTTTTTGTCTTGTATACTTGCTTTCCATTTTCTTCCAAATTTTTATTATTATTTATAGACCCGTTTGTTCTTGCATATATTACACTTCACACATTGTATGGAGGCATGTTCTCAAAGATTCTTTGGTGCAGTTGCAAGATGCATGCTTTCCTATTTTTATGCATTTACTTGTTTTTCAGCTGTGCTAAGAAGTCTGCAAATCAGGACTTATGTTTCTGTCACCCTGTTTATATGGAGCTACATGTTCTGCATTTTTTTACATGTTCAGCACTTTTTTTTGTGTGTCCAGATGAATTTGTTTTTCCTGAGTGATTCAGGTCAGGTCTGCTTCTGCCGTTTCTTGTATCACCAGTCAAAAGTAGTTCTTTGGGTAAGGGGCAAGAATAGAGAGAGTGCCAGAGGAAGAATTAAAGAGTGTGGCCATTCCTTAATTGCAAGCAGAGTGTCACTCCTGCAGTGTGTTTTTCTTCATAGGCCTCTTGTTTTTCCCTTGTCTAAAGCTATTAGTTTTGTGTAAGATCTGCTTTGGGATGCCAGATAAATGCATGAAAACTATGTGAGACATCCAAATAGTATGTGCTGCTAAGATACTTTTATCACAGTAATTTATTTTCATCAAATTATCATTTCCTAACAAGAATTTCTAGGTGAAATTTAGAATAGTCTGAGGAGGGATTGTCTTTGTTGATTTGAAGATGGCCCTACTTAACCCTCTCTTCCTCTTTCATGTGAAGCTAGAACATTTTAAAGAAGTTGAAATAGCGAAGATTAAAATGGAGGAGAAAGTGCAGACCCAGAAAGAAATCTCTGAGCTGCGTCATGAGTTAGAGAGGACACATCAAGCAAAGTCTGAAGCCTTAATTTCTCGTGAAAAGAATGCTATTGAGAGGCTTCAAAAGCAACAAGAGGTAAAATTTCCAAACATATTTTCTTAAACTAGTACAAAATGAATCAGTGAGTTGATTAAACTGTTCTTTTATCTTTGGGAGATTTACCTTCAGTTCTTCCTTGGCTTATTAGTGAAAACTTTGAATTTACTTTTGTTCTCATAAATAGGGGAACAGATTTAGCAACTGCAAGAATGAATATGGGTAAATATCTAAGTACAGCTGGCTGGAAAAGGAACAGTTCTGCAAGCTAGTACTGAAGGATTTAAATGTAATGAATACTTTTAAATCTGTTTTAATAACTTTGCTGAATTCAGATCACAGATTTTTTTTTTTTTAACAGGAAGTTGAACACAACTTTTAGTTATAGTATAAATTCTTTCAGTTGCTCAGAAGGACTCTAAACTGAATGGAATATATAGTCTTTATGGTATGGATATGCCATTTCTGTATGTCATTGTATGTTGAATATTATTAATAGCCACTCTCTTTACTGTAAGCTAGCATCTCATTTTATTTCTTTGAACGCTTTTTTTGTTGATGAGCTACTCCTTTGGGCTGTTAACTCTTGGTGTTTTACCAGAGTAGTAACTGTTACTGTAGCACACAGTAGTTTGTATATACTTCTAAATTTCTTCTTCCAGTCTCCAACTGCTAATTTTTTGCTCTGGTGTGGTGGTTTTTTTGTTTGTTTGTTTGGTTCAGTAGTTTTGTGTTTGTTTTTTCCCCTGAGAGCACATGGTATTGGTTAACAAAGCAATCATAAAGGTCTCTATATAGATTATTATATACCAGTCTCTACTATTGAACCTCCTTCCAATCTGAAAATTAAATGTTTTATCACTGTGCTATGAATTTCTTTCATGGTCATGTCCTTAGGAGCTTACAAGAAACCCATCTATTTTATGGTATCAGTCGTCTTCTGTGGGCATAAAATTAATTCAGTAATTAAAAAAAAAGAAAAGACTACTAGATCAAGACATCCATCAGTTTTGTGTATGAATATTTGCTTGCTCTTGTCATATACTTGAAAAGTATATGCTTCATTTATCTGGGGACTCTTTTAACAGAGACCAGGAGCTTTACTGAGTTGAAGTGTATTTACATTAAAGGTAGAAGGTCATGTAACCCTTTAGTAAAATAACTTTATGCCCAGGAAATATGGCTTGACAACTGCTCTGGTTTTTGCACCAGGTACAGCAGCTAAGTCTTTCTTGGGACTGCCAAGTGCACATGACTTGCAAACTTGATACGAGCACCCGTATAGCAAAATCATAATTTTCTTCTTCTTAGGCAATCATTATTTATTTGAAGAGAAATAATGCCTTGTGTGCTTAAGGGCAAGAAGAACTATTTTTTATTCATAAGGAGATATATGACTTTTAGTATTAGCATGTTCATCACTTGGAGAATCCCTTTTACAATTTGTTTGATTTCTATCGGACTGCAAAGATTGAAAGACTGCTAGTTGACTCAGTTTCAGTTTTAAATTGTGTTTTATCAGGGGTTTCTGGCATTTGTTTTTCCAATTTTGTTTTTATGAAGAACCTATAGAACTATTGTTTACTAAAAAATTCAGATGTTTGAATGTGTTTATTCTGTAATTTTTCTAAAAACAAATTTTCCTTTCACATAAGTTTTAATTGGTGCTATTTCTTAAAAGAAAAGTGTTTACAAGTAGCCAGTTGTGACTCCATCTAAAGCATTTTTATTCTGATTAAAAGGAGAAAGGGAATAAAAAAAATTACAATCGATTCTGGATGTTATTTCAAATTATGACTATATAAATAATATTTATTGGAGTAAGACCAATTCTTGAAGAAGGTCCTTGAAAGTTTGAACATGTTAAACAGTAGATACCTGTAAAAAGTGTGGAGTAAAACTAGAGATAATATTTTGTGATTCAGATAGAAGCAAAGGAAGTATACTCTCAAAGACAAAGTCTACTGAAAGATATTGAAGTCATAAGGACCAGAGAGGCGGAACTGAAGCAAAGAATTGAGGCATTTGAAGTGTAAGTTCCTGAAGGGCACATGCAATGTGCTGTTATTGTTCTTTTTCTGGAAAGCAGGCTTCAAATTATTGCTGCTTGTATGACATTGAAATAGGTTATGTATCCCAGAAGTTGTGTTTTGCATTTTGAGCAGTATTGTACACTGTCTCTATTAGCAGGGATACCTCATACAAAAGACATTTTGGTTTTTGTTTTTGTTTTTTTTCAACTCCTCCTCATCCAACCGGAACAGTGCAGCATCATTTGGGGGCTAGGAGCCACATGTTTGCTTTGAAGTGCTTAAATGGAAAAAATACCAAAACACACAAACAAAAACCCAACACATACTGTGTTGTTTGGGCGTTGTTTCTTTTGTAATCCTAACACTCATGAGGTATGTGTATGATATTTTGCTTCTGTAATCCTGGGGTTTTTTTTTTGACTTGTCCTTAGTAAGATGAGTTTTCCTTGGTTAAATAAAAAAATAACCATTTTTGGCCAGGTTTTCAGTACTACTTAATGTCCTTACTTTGTCAATCAGTTTTTATAGCAAAATGAGTATCCCGCTAACAAAAACTTGTTGTTTTTTTTTTAACAAGCCAGCAGAGGGTGCTGATAGAGTAGCATGCTTGGCACTATCTCCTCTAAAGACTTTCTGGCGTGGGAAACTGAGCTAGGGTTAACCCGGGATAGCGGCATAATTGATTGGTCCTGGACTTTAAATAGGGCAATTTCGTTTGTGTCACATCTCCTTGTTCTTAATGAATTACAATGACAACTTGTGATAACAATTTTAAATTGTTACAGTGTTCCGAGCAAGCGCGTTACCTTTTGATGTCTGTCTGTCCCTAAATGTTATTTAAAAATCCCCAAAACCTAAAGTTTTGGCTTTATAACTGGTCATTGGCTGTATATTTATGGATATTTCAGTACTCAAAAACTTCAGGAAGAGAAAAATAAAGCTATTGATGATGCACTTCGACGTCGGGAGGTTGCTGTGAAGAACATAGAGGAGACATATGACCAAAAGCTTCAGACGGAACTCTTAAAGTAAATTTTTCTTTTCTCTCTAATAAGATGCATATTACTGCCTATGAAAACAAAATAATAAATTATACAGGGTTTCTTTTGAAAAGTGCAACAAAGCAAGGACTTTGAAAATGTGCACTTATGTTTCTGTTTTAATCAGCTTGAATTCCTTAGATTATTGCTTTGCTTTTCGCTAGTGAGACAAAATATTCTGTCAGGTTCAGAAAAAGCTTGCTATAGAAAATAATTCTATTTTAATTATAGGTTATATTATTATTGTAGTTTAAATTCTGTGTTGTTATCTGGGAAAGAGATGTAACATTAGTTGTATGTTTAGACAAGAGGATGTGAAGCAGTATTAGTGACTTCCTTTGAACACAATTAAAAGAACTGACCATTTTACAAATGCAGAAAAGGCATGGAGGGTAAATTAGCATCAAAGACATGTTATAGGTTTCTTGGAAAAAGGATGAGAGGCACACTAGCCCCAGATAGATTGGCTCTTACCTTAACCCCTCCCCATTTTTGGCAGGAGATTCTCTGTTATAGATCACTTTCTCTTATTGACTACCATCTGATTAACATGGTTTCAAAGAATTTGCTTAGAAATGCTCTTTGAAAGTGTAAGATGTCATCTGTGACTGCTTTTGAGGTGTCACACTGGGTATATCCTAACTTTGCTATTGTACTTTCTTGGAGTGCTTTGGTCACTTGAAGGGTTGCTTGATGCTTCAATGCCGGCAGCTGCTCTCGGCATGTTATTGCTCATGTCTGTTCGATGCATGAACTGGTCTTCCAGTTAAGGCAGTTAAATCAAATGACTGATGTAGCATTACTTTTTATTGCAAGCCAGTGAACAATAGTATTATCTGTGTTAGTGTGTCTTTATTTAAATTACAGTGGAAAGTTGTAAAGAGTAGGTTTTGATAAGAATGATGCCTCAGCTGAAACTGAGTAGGTTTGAAGTTTTTTTCAGAGAACAGTGAAATGCAACTAATTGACCCACCTTGGTATCTTATTTTACCTAGTCCATAGCCACTAGTTACAAATAATGTTTGTAAAGTGCTTTTGGTTCATGAGAAAAAGCAAATTATTTTAAGGATGAACTGCTGCTTACCTTATTTTATCAGCATACAAAATATTTTAGATATGCTGCAAATCCTTAGTTAAATCTGTGTCCTTTTGTCCTAAATCCATGATGAAAAGTAGCAAAGAGCTACTATTTATTGTATAGAAATAATGATGCTTGTTAGAAAAGGAATCTTTTTTCATTTCCATGATAAACATTAAATGCCATAATGAGAAGGATCTGAGTTGTCTGGACCATTTGCAAAAATACAGGATGAGTATGGTGATACCTGAAAAAATTTATAATCTATGTCGCAACCATGGAGAATAATGAACTTTCTTAGCTCCTGTAGATTCCAGTAAATTTGATCAGTAAAGTTGGATGACTGCTGGGCTGTGAATAGTGATGTACCTGGACAGTGCTCAGTGTCTAGCTGGTGGCTGATGGTGAGCAGAGAACACTTAGGTCCAGTACTGGGACCCATACTGTCCAACACCTTCATCCATGATCTGGATGATGACACAGTGCATCTTCAGCAACTTTGAACATGAGGCTTAATTAAGGGGAATTGCATCCAGAACGAATGGCAGAGTTTCAATACAGACAGACTTTGATAAACTTGGGGATTGTACCAATATAAATCTTAGGAATTTTAACAAGGAGAGCTACAAAGCTCTGCACTTAGGGCAGAATGTCTCTATGAACTAGTATAAATAGGGAACAGGAATTGACCAGGTAGGTGTGTTTCTGAAGAGAGGACATGGGAGTTTCAGTCAATGCCAGGTTGACTGTGATCCAGCAGCATGCTCTGGCAAATAAGGCAAACAGCATGATGGATGATATTAGCAGCAGCATGGCCAACAGGTATTATCCCCTTCAGGTATTGGTGAAGGCTGTGCTAAGAATACCATGCCCAGGTTAGGGCTCCCCAATTCAAGAAAGTCATTAAGAAACTGGAGAGAGCCTAGTAAAGGTCTGTACTGTAAAGTAAAGGATGACCAGACATGACTTCTGAGGTCATATGGTGGGGGCTGTAAATCGTGGCTGGGGAGGTTCAGGTTGGACATGGAGAAGAAAGATATTACTAGGAGGGTAGTGTGGCATTGGCACAGGTCATCCAGGGAGGTGGAATATACATCCTTTCAGATTTTCAAGACTTTGCTAGGGAGAGCCACAGCTGACTTGATCCAGAGTTGGCAGTAGTCTTGCCTTTTGAGCAGGTGGCTGAATGAGGCGATTGGCAGGGCCTTTTTTCCGGTGGCTGTGCGAGAACTAATTTTGTCAACAAATAATTGTATGAGTTTAGTCTGGGAAAGACTGGCATTTACACAAATGCAAGTGCATGTGCGCACACACATACTTTGGGAACACCTAATTCTTTTTACTTCTAGGTATCAGCTTGAATTAAAAGAGGAATACATAGCCAGAACCAATAAAGTTACTGAAGATGAGAAAAAAAATAAAGGTAACCATATCTCTGAGATTAATAAAGTAGCTTTTTCTCTCTACAGCTTTTACTAACAGGTATCAAAACACTGTTGTTACTAAACAGTCACAGTGTTCAGTAGCACTAATATAAGTGACAGAAGAGCCATCAAAATAGATTTTGAAAAACATGTGGCAGGATCCTGTGACAGGTCAGCAACTCCTTGCAGTTCAGAATGCAGTGAGGGCCGTGAGCTGGTACCTTGCATGGAGGCTGCAAAGCACCCTGCTTTTTCAGTTTCCCAGCTCCTTCTGAAATCCTGCTAGCTCATTCATTCTTTAATTGAACTCTGGTACGGTCTGGTACGACACCTTTGAATGGTTGCCAGTTTCTACATTTATTGTGCACAAGATGTATAATTGGAGCTTGAGGAAGAGAGCTGGGACACATAAACATATTTAGACTTTTAAATTAGAGACATGTGAAAGAGATGATATATCATGTGCATATGAATTTGATTTACTTAATTCTAAAGGAGTGTATGTATGCATATGTATATACACACACTGTGATTTACTTAATCTTGAAGGAGTGTGTATGACATTCAGTCATTTTTATGTCTTGAATTAAATTGATTGTTGGGTTTAGCAGCTTAAACTGTTTTTTGCTGATACAGTTTTTTACTGTAATACTCTACTAATTTTAATTCAGCATTTGTAATCCTCCCTGTAGAGAAAGCTATGCTTTTGCATGAAGAAGCCATTGCTGTTAATTCAAAAAAGGAGGAACTGAAGCAAGCTAAATCACGCACGAAAGAGCTTGAGGTAATTGTAAATATGGATTTAAAGAAGCTGTATTCTAACTAATGCATTTGAAGTACATTTGAAAACAGAAAGAAGAAAATGTGAACTAAAAAGAATTGTTAAGTGGTACAGCAGTTTATAAGCTTCTAAACTGTTCTTTATCTGCAGCTGGATTTGGAGTCAGTGAAGGCCCAGGTTCTGTTGGTAAATAAACAGAATCAGTTGTTGACAGAAAAACTGAAAGAGTTATCGGACTATCCTTTGCTAAAGGAGGAGAAATTGGAGCTCCAAGTGCAGAATAAACTACTTAGGCAACAGTTGGATGAGACTCGCAGTGAGAACCAGCATCTTCGAGACAGTCAGTGTGAATGATTTAGTAATTTTTTTGCTTGTTTCCCTACATTTAGAAATAAATTTTCATTAAAATACGTTCTTTGTATTATGTTTACTAGTAGTTTGCATTAAACTCCAACTCATGTTTGTGTAAAATGAAACAGTCCTTGACATTGTAAGTTTATTTCCTTTAATATGTCTCTATAGTAGAAATCCTGAATTAAGTGGTAACTATAATAATATGGAGAATATCCCTTTCACTCTTTGAAAAAAGCAGTGCAACATTTCTAACCATAACGTTAGTATGGTTAATAATGGTGAAAGAACATTACATTCTTATTTTTTAAGACTATAGTTATAAGTTATAGTGGAGTCATCATCACTGGAAGTGTTAAAAAAATGTATGGACGTGGTGCTTCCGGACATGGTTTAGTGGGCATGGTGGTGTTGGGTTAATGGTTAGACTTGATGATCTTGAAGGTCTTTTCCAACCTTAATGATTCTGTGATAAAATGCCAAGTATTTTTAATGTGCATTTGAGATTATGGGAGAGTAGAGATGTACACCCAGTTACATAAGGTAAAGATATGTATTTTTCTTCCAGAACAGGATAGTTTGGGTCTAGTTCTTAAATGACTACACCAACAAAAATTTCGGTCTTTTGTAAAAGGACTAAAAAAAATCCCCAAGTACTTTATTTGAACAAAGCCTTGTGATGTTCCTAAAAACAAATCAGCTTTACATTTTGAAGGGGTATCATGTAGAGAAGTGCATGGTCATTATTCTGTGGCTGAGTGTCTAGTATTTCTCTTTCTGGATAGAACTGTCTCAGCCCTCAGCGGAGCACCTGGCCTGCCAAGTGGAGCTGAGGAGAGTGGAACATTCTAGGAAGTTGGCGCTGGATGAATTTGAAAGTCATAGGCATATTTTGGAAAAGCAGCTACAAAGTGAGGTAAATTATCCTTTCTAAATAACTTGAATCTGTTCTTCTTCCTGTCATCTTGTTCACATTTATCTGTGTACCTGTGCAGGCCATTTAGCATGTAGTTACTGGGATTGTTTGAATTCTGCTTATTTTTATGTAAACAAAACTAAAGAAAACAAAGCAACACCAAAAAAACAACACTCCTCCCTGCCCAAACCCTGCATAGCCAAAGTAAATCTTTCAAAGTCATTAAGTTGTCAGCACTGACTTTCAGTAGGATACTGTGTGTATATGGTTTGACTGGACCTGAAAAAAAATTCAGGAACAAGTATTCAGCCAGTGGAGATTACTCTTCTTTTTTGTTTTTCTTTGGATCTCCTATAGGTTGAGCGTTGTGCTCAGTTAAAGACCCAGCTGTTGGACTCCGAAGCTACTGTCAGGAAGTTAAATGTGCAGGTTGAAGAACTGAAACTGCAGGTGAAGCAAACACAGGCAGGTTTGTGTCTTACACCAGAGCAGTCCTTTATGAAGTTCACTTACCTAAGAATCTCCAGAAGCTTAAAAAAGCTGCAGCTGCATAGAGCTAATATACCACCACTGAGCAGATTTCAAGTTTAAAATCAAAATCTATTTAAATGCCCAATTTAAAAAGCAGAGTCATTACAACTTCCCTTCCTTTCAGAAAACAAACACAGAGGAGGGAAAAGAAAACATTCCTCCCTGAATATTTGCATGTTTTTGTTGTCTTTTTTTCCTCGGTATGAAGACATTAATGTTTGGTGATAACATAATCACCGTTTTCCAGGAGCAGAATTGTTTTTTAATGCATTTTGATTCTTGAATGTTCATAATAAGAGTAATAAATTTGAAATTGTATTGTGTACCTCGCAAATTTGAATCTAACTTTTAAACAGTTGTTGTCAAAGCTAATAATTATGCGCCTCCTATGGGCATTAGAAAGAGAGAGGCACTTGCATAAAGCATTTCAGTTTGCTGAAGAACTGTAGTTCTAAAGATGCCTATCTGTCAAATTGCTAATATCAAGGATGATAAATACAAGTTTTGGAATGTATATTTAATCTAAAAATATGGAATTGAATTCTGCAGTGACTATACATTACATACAGCATGTGTTGCACGATAGTTACTATATGCGATACTCTGTTATTCACTAGACCAATATGTACATTTTCATATATGATACAAGTATTGGTACCATTTGGAATTGGAAATTTGTTAGTGTCAAAATGGCAAATATATATTTTAATTAAATGACGGAAAGTACTGCAGGGACTTTCATTTTGCATCAGTTATGGATGTAATTGTTTTCATTCTACATAAATGGTTCTTCAAGGTTGTCATTTTGATGAGAAAGATATAGTCCTATAGACTGGTCTTTTGGGCCTGCTGAAGCATGCAAGTGCAAGCCAGGAAGCAGACAGCCCCAAAACATTCAATTTAATGGACAATTTTGGAGAAGTACTTTATTTTTAAAAAAACATTATCTATGTGCTGTGTTGCTTTTCTCTAAATTTCTTTTTTGATCTAAATAGAAAAAAGCTGTTAAGACTTGTGGCCTGCTCTATGTCCCTCACCCTTTAACAGCATAATCGGATATAATGTGTCCAAAGTGGTGACATTTTAATTTTTATTTATTTATTTAAAATTAATTTATGAAATAACATTGTAGAAGTATAACTTCAGGTAGTTTTACATGGAAGCGTTATACATTAAAAAAATAATATCTGTGATAATTTGCAGCTATGCAGCTACATTCAAAATACATTTGAATCAACCCATTAAATTCTCAAAATTTAAGCCAACTCTGTGTTAAAACAATTTTGATCAAACTGGAATTGAAATGTCATGTTCTACTGTTTCTATTCTGTTCTGGGTCTCCTTCTCTCACTCTTTACTGTCTCTCACTTTCTCATTTAGCTCTGGAAAATGAAGTGTATCGAAATCCAAAGCCTTCGCTTGTCGATCGCTCTGTCCTTGACTTCACTGGTGACAGAATGGTACCTCATGATATTTATGTGGATAGCGCATTCCTGAAGAATCAGGTTGTGGCCGATGTGATGAAGGTAAACGCTGTGCCAAGAGTTGGCTATCATCAGCAGTTACAGCCACGCAGTGCTTCTCCAGATTCTGACTTGGAGTGTATGGCACAAACCCGGGCTAGAATAAAAGAACTAGAAAAAGAGGCAGAGTATTTGGAAGAAGCCTACAGGAACTACCAACACAGAGTGATGAAGGATGCGGCTGCAAGCAGAACGCCAAGAAAGATGCAGTCCCCTTTACTTCTGCAGTGTGCTATTAGTAGACCCCCCTTGACTACCCAGCATGAACTTCCAGAGGATAATCCCAGCTCCCAGCATTCCCCTCTGAGCAGTCCACAAGGTGAAAAATACATCAAAAGGAGTGAGCAGGTTGATGTCTTTAAAAATCCCTTAACACCACCACACAGAGGAGCGTCTTCCTCAAGACGCCTTTCTTCTACTCCTGTTTCCAAATTGGAAAGAGATCTCAGTAACAAGAAAATTTCAGCTGGTAAGTCACGATTGTTAATGTGGTACGGTATTGGGGTTTTGCTTATTGTTCCTCTTGCACTTACGGGAAGAGAAGGATTTAGCAGTGGTAGTCTTTCATCCATTTGTTATTTGCTAAGGGACAGGAGAAGTCAGAGACAAAACATGCTAGCTTCTTGGAATATTGCTTCTTTGTGAAAACAAGTACTGGAGTAGTACATTGAGGGGGCCTAAACATACTGCACTTAGTTCAGGTAGCTTTAAAGAGAAGACTGCCACATAATTCACTACTGGTGTAACCTTCTGATATGCAGAGTTTTGTTCGAGAGTTGCTATTAAGTATAACTACTTTGCAACATTAATTGTAATTTCCTAGTTTTAATAACCTTCCCTTTGTATTCCTATGCTTTTGTTTAGCTATTGTAGAAGCAGAGGACTGATTTGTCTGGCTTCTGATAAATTGAGTTTTCCAATCTGAAAGGTCCAGATTTGCTTTTGTTTGTTCTTCTTGCTATGACATCTTCATCAAATATTCCTGAGAGGAGGGTGTTAGTGTTTGGTCATGATTGGAATATTGTCATTTGCTATTAATTTCACAGTGTCTAATATAGGATTTTTTTTTAAAGGGGCAGTACTCAGAAAAGCAAGCAAAATAGAAAAAAATTGAAAATTAAAAAAAAAAAAATTTGCTGTTTCAAATCTGCAGTACATCTGCTTCTTGAATCATGCAATTCTTGTCATCCTAGCTCAAAGTGGATACAAAAAAGAGATAGCAACAGAAAAAAGATAATGATCAGCTTCTCTATGAAGGAAGGTTAAACACAAGAAGGTCAGCTTATTTTGGAAAAGAGTTGGCTGAGATGTGCTGTGGGAAATCTGGAGAGCAATGAGTGATGTGAAAAAGGTGAAAAGGAATCAATTAATTACTGCTTCACAGACTCCAGAATCCTGTGAAGTTGAAAGGAAAGAGAAGGAAGTATTTTTTCATACCATGAGTAAGTTATGGAATTTATTGCTTCTGTTGCAACAAATACAGATGCAGGAATAAAACTGCCCTGTCAGGAGGGCCTGAGTATTGATTGAGGAAAGGTTGAGGCAGGTGTTGCCAGAAATAAGATATAAGTATTCTCCTTTTTAAATTTCAGTTTAGTTTTGTTTAGTAATGAACACTGTCAGAAGTAGGTTACAAACAGTCTGATCTGTTGTGGCTGTCCCTGTGTTTCTTCATGTAGAATATCATGTTATGTTACTGAAAACATATTTGAAAACTTGAACTTCCAAAGCAGTCTTTTACATTTTAGCTTTTCTCTGTCAGCTTCTGTATAAACTAATTACAGACTGTTTAATGCTGTACACACACAAAATCTTTCATGAAAGTAGGGTTTTGTTGTAAGGTTAGGATATGTCAAAATTAAAGTTGCATGCATAACCTTAACAATCCTTCCGATCTTTGTACCTGCCAGAAGCTAGTTACATGGTGGCTGATCGATTTTTTCTTTTTCTTTTTTCTTTTTTCTTTTAAAATTTTTTTTTTTCCCATTGGATCTATTCTTTGCTTAATGCACAAGACTGACTTGTTCTGGAGAGGGATAAGAGTTCAATAACAAAGGAGGGCATTACCTGACTTAGGTGTTACAGAAATTGAGCAGTATGTAGTGTAGGAAACCAGGTAGCAGCTAGATGATATGTTCTCAAGGTGAACTGATGCGGTACTTGCCCCAGTAAGCACGGTAGCTTCAGTGCTGATGTGCTGTGGAGTGATTTATCTGCTTCCCATTAGAGTGCTTCCCCACTGATAATGTCATCTTTGTTTCAAGAGCCTTCTGAGAAGGAGTGCTTTCATACTGGTATTTGTGTTATCCTTTGTGCTAGAGGTGGCTGAAGCACCAGATGTGTTTTTGCTAGAAAATGTAAGTCATTCTGTAAGTTTCCGTGGAGTTTTTCAGTGCTGTTGAAGATGCCAGTCTGAACAGCTCAGAATAAATTTTAAGAGGTAGAAGATACCATGCACGTGAGCCTGAGGTTTGTGTTTCTTTTAAGTGAGGTATATGTCAGTGACAACTGCAGCTCAGGTATCAGTACCTGTCTTCGAAGGATGAAAGGAAGATGAAAGGAAGAAGTGTGTCCTCCTTAGGAATACTTGCAGTTGGCAGATCTAGCAGCTGTTTTACTGTGTAATCTGCCAGTGGAAGGGTATAGGGTTTTCTCTCTTCCTTTAAATTAGCTCCATGTATTTGACACTTTTCCTTCCCAAGCCTGTGCATGTTGGACATCTTTCAGGCTTTGACTTCCTACTGGGAAGGAGTAAGCCCATTTCTTTTAAGACCAACTAAAAGTAGGACAGGGTCACAGAAACACTAGGTTGGAAAGGACCT